ACAAAATACATAGATATAAGTGAGATAAGCTTGATACCAGCTTGCACGTTTTGTGTGGTGCTTGATATTAGAATCATAGAATCCTTAAAGTTGGACTAGATGATTCTAAGGGCCATCTGGTCCAACTACCCTGCAGTAAGCAGGGACACCACAGTTAGGTCAAGTTGTCCACGGCCTTATCAAGCTTCACCTTGAAAGTTTCCAGGAACAGGGCATCAACAACATCACTAGACAATTTTAGGGCAGATACTAAATAATGGACAGTAATTTGATAGGGAAATCATTAGCAATTCTGGAGCAGATTAGAATTCAAAAGACCAACAACATGGGTAAAGTGCAAGCACAGAGGGAAACAGTGCATTGGGCTGGGAGAAATTACCAATGACATCCAGAGGTGTTCTTCTTGGAACTAATTCTTGTTTCATATTTCTCTTCAATGATTCTGGCAGGGGAGAAAAAAAAAAAGAAAACAAAACCAACACTAAGTTGATGAGACAAAAGAAATGCATGAATTGCTGTTAAGGAAGGGATGCATTTATGAGATAACTGTTATTATGAGATTATTATTATTATGAGATTATCTCATTATATGAAAGCAACTAAGAGACAGATGTGACTGTAGTCAACAGTTACTCAAGAAACACTGATGCCAATAACAATGGAATCACATAAAAAGTAAATGGCTACCTTAGGACGCATAACTTCCAGTTGTGTTCATGTTAGCAAGTTCTGCTGTCTCCTGTGGGAAATTCTAACCAGTTGTGACTGCCCTTCCCTCAAAGATGGAGCTCATCTCATATGTTCACAGATGATTTCCTAGCAGAGCCAAGGAAAAGAACAGTCTATTTTAGGGGCTCACAAGAGCATGGCTTATTTAATGCAGCAAAATGAAAAGTGAGAGAGATGATTATGGTTGCTGTCTGCCATACACTGTGGAGAATGGTGTATGAATTCAAAGTGAACACTGAATATGAGGATAAAACTGGGCATGGATACTTTTCTGTTAGAAAGTGAAAGCAGGCAGCATCTAGCCAAGCATCTCAGGTTCATCAGAACCTTCTGGTTGTAGCAATGAAGGTAAAACCCAAACATTTTAGCCTGGAATAAATCCTTATGTCTTATGTCCTTGCGGCTGCAACCACAAGGGAGATCAGATACCATTGCTTGACAAAATGCCTGCACATCCTGAGTTCCACTTACCAGCCCCACAATGGAAATAAAAAATAAAGCCCAGTTCTATGCCTCTTTACAAAATCTTTTCACAATATCAGGATGTGAGTCTAAAGAAAATTCTGTCCAGCCTATCCTGTCTGACTCATTCTGTGATGCCATGGTCAGTATAGTTGCTGAGCACCTGGAGAGCTGTAATGGCTCAAACAATGAACTACAAACCCTCTCACCACATCAGGAAGACAATGAAGAACAAAGCTCATGAGCAACAAAACTTTTTTTTTTTTTTTTTTTTTTTTTAATGTAAAGTACTATTTTGCTTTTATTTCTCTCCTTGAGCAGAAATAGGGCATTACTAACCACTTCCTTCACCTTCTCAAATGTTCACATCAGAGGAAAAGGGTCATTTAAATAGCTTTGGAAGACTTCAGCTTCCAGCAGAGCTACTCTGGAGCAAAGATCAGAATAGTAGTGAGAATAGTGGAGCAGCAAGCACATTTGTAAGACACTGAATGCTGCAGGAGCTGCCCTCAGTCAGGTGCCTAACAGGAAAGCTGCGTATACACGTGGCTCATGCTTTGAGGCACCCTACAGGAGGAAGCCAATAAGAGTGCTTATCTTGATGTTCAGAGAACACCTGAGATGCTTTAGATAAGGAAACCTACTGTGGAGAGGCACAAAGCTTAACAGCTCCACTGTTTTCTACAGTGGCCTGGATTACTTTTTTGGGAATACAAGTCACTTCTAAACCTAATCTCTAAATCCATTTCCAAAACAACACAGCCACCTCCCAGCAGAAGTAACAGAACCAGCTGCCTGCCTGTTAAATTCTGTCACCTGATAGAAACTTGCTTTCCACGACGTTGCTCCACAACCACAAACCTGCATCCACTTGTAAGAACTGTTGCAGCTACCGCTGAGGCTAGGCCTGTCTCCTTTTAATTATGTAAATTTGCATAATTCTGGAAATCTGTATTTGAAACATTATTCTGTTTCCCACAGTTCTCAGCTCTAACTTTTACATCCTGGCACTGCCTTAACCATTGAAAACAGCAGTGAATATCTGCCAGACAGCTGTCTTTTAAATACTGGGGGATTTGTAGCAATGAGTAATGATGATCAAGTGACCAGAATACTCCTTTCAAAAGCAGTGAACACGTGTAAACACATCTTACAAAATCACTGCTGACTTTGAGCAGTGTTAGGTCCCATAGGATTTTCTTTATTCCCGTGAGGCATCTGAGCAGTTAGCAGCCCCTGTACGGGCTGAACCACAGAAGAGCCTCTAATTTTCTACTAATATTTCTTCTAAATTTCCTGTTTGTTTAGTGATATCTAGACCAACAGTTTGAACACCTCTCTGGTTATATTCAATTTGCTGGTATTGAAAACAACACCACCACCACTCTTTAAAATTGTTATTATCACTGAAGCCCTCCATAATCTCTCAGTAAACAAAAATTCTCAGAAATCATCCACAAATGCAAACCTTCACCTTTTAAGACCTGAAAGGAGCATTTATGCACATTCCTCTTTTAAATCCTGCAGCCTCCATTATCCTTTTTTTCTTGCTTCCATAATTTTTAGTCTACATTATTTGTTTCATACTGAAATTTCAGTTTCTATCAACAGATTCTCCCATCATCCTGCCTTGAAATCCATCCCACAGCTACTTCATGGACAACATCTCTGAAGGCTACCATATATCTCCATCCAGACTCAGGCCTCGTTCTTGCATTTACAGTGCTTCTAGGCCCCTTTGCAGACTAGTATGGTTTTTATTATCTACTGCACCAGCTATTTCTGGCAGGATATAAGAATATTTAAGTTCTTCCCTGTAAGAGTGCCATGCAACCAAGCAGCACTGAAAATATCACCAATTTTAACAGGTGGAAGAAAGGGTATGAAAGGAGAAAAAGCATTTTAAACTAAATCCAACATTCAAGGGAAAGTCTCTATTAATCCTTAATGATCTTACCATGCTTCTCCCCTAGGCTCTGTTCCTCAAACATAGTCCTATGTTCACATGGGGCACTTGTAATATGACTCAAGTCTGCAAATTCATAGGTAACAACGTGGACTCAGCCCAACTGTTTACCTTTCGATTTTTGTTCTGTAAATTGTAGCACCATAAGCCAAAGTATTACTGCATTAACTCTACCAGGAATTACATCAATGTATAGCACTCATAAACAACAGATGACAAATTCATCTCATCATTTTAATGTCAAAAATACTTGCTTGTCACTCTCCTCATCAGTAATCTCTTCTACCACAGTTTTCACTTGCCATCTCTTCTGTTAAATTGCCATGAGGCAAAGCATTTTATTCTCCATTTTCCATGTGGTAAAGCTTTTTGTTTCTGCTTTAAATACCTCAGACTTTCAACACAACATATATTTACTCAGTAACAAGAATATCAATGACAAATGCAGTTTCATAAGTGGTTGGAAACAGGCATAAAATTTCTTCTCTCTCACAGAAGCTAATAAGTTTACCAGAACATTGAAGTAGTTATACTACATAGAAGTGCAAGCAACAAAGTTAGGACAAAACACTTACCTTGTTCAAACATGTTTTCTATTACTCAGAATCTCTATTTAAAAATAAATAAATAAAACAGCATTAGTTAATATTAGTTAATATTAACTGTAGAGTAATAAATATGTAACCATCATAAATCAGCCACTGTGAGCAAGCCACATGGTGGTGGGATGCAGAAGCATCTGGAGAATTAGCTACATGACTTGGAAGAAGCAGAGCCAAGAAATAATTACCTGATGTTTTCCAGAAATGCAATGAGGAAAATGGCCATCACATACATTAATTGCAATTAATATGTTCCAGAAAAATTACCTGAGAGAAAGGAATAAACATTTTCTTAGGAGTCACTGGCATGCCTTCTCCCTTGTAAAACAAGTTAAGTTTGCTAATCCTGTTGAACAGAAGAAATGTGAATAAAGAGGCTACAGAAAGTAATTATTTTCCAGAACAATCTGCTGCAGCACCAAGGAATGAGTCATGTAAGCAGCTCATTCAAGTCTGAAAACGTTTTAGAGGCTTGGCAGTATGGAAACATTTTGGGGAAGCAGATGAGTTACCTGCAATCACACAGAAATTGCTAGAGAGAAGCAGAAGGCTTCTCCCCAGAGATGGGCTTAGCCACTCTTGTCTTCAATCTTTTCTGACGCTGAGAAATTGATAACTTTGGTAGAAAAGCTACTCTTTGAAATTAAAAGATGAATCCATCAAACGTGAATGTTGAATAGGGAAACAGGAAGTCAGTGCTATTACCATCCAATATAGAATCATAGAATGGTTTGATTTGGAAGAGTCCTTTGTAAGTCATCTGATATAACTCCCCTAACATGAATAGGGACACCTACCGTTAGATCAGGATGCTCAGAGCCCTGTCCAGCCTGATACTGAGCGTCTCCAAGGACAGGGCGTTCACCACCTCTCTGTGCAACCTGTGCCAGTGCCTCACCACCCTTAACATAAAAATCTTCATCTTTATATCCAGTCTAAATCCTCCCCTCTTTTAGTTTGAAATCATTTTCACATGTGCTGCATGTCCCCTTCTTTATTCTAGCTCCACTTTTGATACTGAAAGGCCGCTCTCAGGTCTCCCTGGAGCCTTCCCTTCTCCAGGCTGCACAGCCCCAGCTCTCTCAGCCTAACTTTGTAGGGGAGGTTTTCCATCCCTTGGATCACTTTCGTGGCCCAATTCTGGATGTGCTCCAGCAGGTCCACATCTCACCTCTACTGAGTACTCTTCATTTGGGCACAGTACACCAGGTGAGATCTCTTCTGCTTTGTCACAGGGTTCCACTTTCTGCTTTGGCTTCTTTAACTTCTTTTTCAGAAGTTAGGTTATCCTGGAGGTTGTTTTTCCAAGAAAAAGATGCAGCAAGTGATAGCCAAACTAACAAAAGGAACAATCCTGTTTGGGGTTTGTAAGTGGTTTGAATAACTTCTTTTTAGAAATGGGTCTATGTTTTTAAATTTTTATTTATTTATTTATTTTCCTTTTTTTTTTTTTCCTTAGAGTTTTAACTCTTGAAGTTAATTCATTAAAAGAACCAGTCTCTGGCAGATGAGGAAGAAGTAAAGGCAAGCAAGTCACTTTTGTGCCTGTGAAGAATACATAAGCATTTTATTCCAAGAAACCCCAAGGAAGGAAAACCTGTGGGTTTTTTTTTGTTTGTTTTTTTGTTTGTTTAGTTTTAGAGATCTATTATCTTATAGAAAAGCGTGTGATTCTTTTTGGTGGTCCTAACCCATACATTTGAAAGACTGTAACTGATAGTTCTGCCTGAGATTTGTCTTTTTTTTTTTTTCACAAAATTAAAATACTGAAAAATATTGCAGTCCCTTGAAGCAGAAGCATAACAAGTACGTCTAACCCATTTGATTCTCCTTGTATTCTCCAGCTGCTATATACTCCATCAAGGTCATCTTTTTCTTGGTTAAGCAGTATCTAATGGCATTTGTGCACACGTTCAAGTAGTTTCTCTTCAAAAAGGCTTCAAAATACAGTTTCTTCCTTTGGATCACTACATTCAATGATGCATTACAGTTTTTCAACAAGGAAAAGAAACAGGGACAGGTACCAAGTCCTCTTGCCACCCAATATAGTGCAGAAAAAAATCTGCCTATATAAATACAACATGGATGCTGACTGGTTGGTGCCTGCTTACCCTAATGAGCTTAAAGTCTTATTTGTAGTGGACATCTGTCAAGACAGAAGTGAGGCACGCAAGTCCTCTTAATCCATTAGCTCTAAATCCAGCAGAGCTTTCACACACTTTTTTTTTTTTTTTTTTTTTTTTTTTTTTTTTAAATCAAAGAAGAAAACCTGTGTGGAAACATACAGAACATACAGTGGGACAATGCACGACTGCAAGACCAGATCCTGGACAGTGAGCATATGAGATTTCAAGGCAAACTACATCAAGAACTGTCAACAAAACTACTACTGTGATGGAAAACTTGTGAGAAAAGGCCAGTCTACAGCTCAGGATGAGACAGTGAGTTTGATTCTTTGTTGTATTTTCTATAGTTATCTAGATTTTTAAATCAAAAATTCAGCCAAAGACGAAGAAAAGATGGGCTGCACACCATCTCACAGTGAGATTGTCAATACTCTTGCAAGAAGTGGCCTTAAGGCTTTGAATAAGCCCAAAGGTGTTTTGCATATTGATCCAACAGACAAAGGAATTCCGCTGCTAGTTAAAGGTTCATCTTGCTACAGTTTTGAAGAACTTCAGCAATATGGGGTCCAGAGGAATGACTGCCTGATAGAAACCAAGGAGAAAACATCTGAGCGGGATAATAGTGATCATTTGCAGTGTTCTTCCAACTCTCATCCAAAGGTCCCCATTCCCAGGGAAGACAAAGTAATTGAGAGGACAGCCACAGAGGCTGAAGTTATATCCAAACTGATTGAATCTCAAAAACACATCACTGAGGCTATACAGATCAGAAAGCAAAGCTCCTGTGAATCAGAAGCATCAGTGTTCATTTTGGATAATAAGAATGAAAGCAACGCAAAGCAAATCCTAAAGAAAGGGAAGAAGCCAAAGAATCAGAAGTCAGCAAAACAAGGTCGACTTAGCAAAACTAAAGAAAAGTCCATTTTGTCCCCGTGTGAGACAGAGGAAAAGGTGGATTTCCCAGAACTGCTTGTTAAGGCTCATCAGAGTGCATACGCTTACTTAAATCCCAATCTTTCCAAGTATGAAGCAATACTTCATATGGCTGATCAGGCTGCCCAAACTCAGCTCTTCCTACAGCAGATGGTAAGCTTCCTCGTACTTCGCTTTGATGAAATCAACCAGCTCTTGGAAGAAATTGCTAATGATGGGGAAAATCTTCTCAAAAACGTGGGGGGGAATCTGGCATGGCCATCAGAAAAAGGTGATTTGAAGGAGCACCCTGATCTTCTGCAACAACTACTGCAATACACAATCAATAAAATGCAGTTACTCAATGGAACGCTAGCCTCTCTCACCTCTGATGCCCTGCAGGAGACATGCAACTACCTGCAGACCGCTGCAAGCAACTTGGAAGGAAAACTGAAAGCAAAGCAAATGTTTGATGAGCGCCTGCTTCAGACAGTAAGGCTGCTTGAAGCCTCAACCGTAGGGAACCCTCAGTTTCATGGTGATGACAGGACTCTCTGTTCTGAGGACAGTGGCATTGGTGTGGACAATGAATCCCTCAAAGACTTCAGTCCTTTCAGCCATCTTGGAGCACAAGCAAGCCTTGATTCCTCTGCACATGGCGTTCTGTCCCAGAAGCACAGCAGAATGATGGAGCATATCCACAATGGGACAAGGCCACCAGGCACAGCCACATCTCATAACTCCACACTCGAAATGCATTTTAAAGATGTGCTTCATTCATCTGTACAGAGTAGAGAAGGAACTACTTGTCGGGGAGGAATACCGGAAGGTATTTCCACCATGGCACAAGATGCAAGCTTGAGTAAAAGCCACTCCTGTAACTCCTTCCAGTCTGACTCTACTCAAGAACATGAGCATTTCCAAGTTGGTGAATCAATAGATTTTCCTTCAGATGATGATGATGAAGGGAGCACCCTGGGGGAGGATGACAACACAAGTTTATCAGAAATGGGGAAGGATGCCCTGCCAAAGAGGCCCCAGTCCTCACCTGCAGTCACTGATAACACAAAAAGGCAGTCTATCAAAAGGACAGAAAATGCAGAAGCAGAGGAAATGATTCTGAAGATGAAAGATGCCATCAGTGAAAAAATCAAATTTGTCCCAGCTAAGTCTAGGCGTAAAGAGTGGATGGAGGATGAGAGTGGAACTGCCATCTTAACAGCAAGGCCCAGTACAGCAACAGGCAGACAGAAAACCTATGGTAAACACCGACGATCCCGGTCAGAGGAGTCCCTCAGAAGCCAGGCAGAGGACCCAACCCTCCTAGAGCTTCAGAGAACTCAAAAGGAGCTCAGCAAAAGGCTAGAAATGTTTTACGGAAAGAAGGAGACAGATAACAACAAAGAGCCTAGGAAACTGAGAACAACATGTTACTTGCAGGATGAGCAAGTTACTTCTAGGTCTTCTAGCAAACTGAAGGCATGCCTCTCAAAAAATTTCAGCATCCTGCCTAACCAGGATAAAGTCCCTTCGTACATAGTTGATCAAAATCCTGCCCATCAGCTGGATGAAAAAAGAGACAAGAAGCCTTTGAAAGCTACTATGCCCACCCAGGAGACGTCATCAGGGAATGAAGAAAACAAGCCTTCTGGAACTCAAACACTCAGTGGCAGCAGTTGTGCCCCCCGCCAGTCTGTCAAAAAGCTCATTGAAACATTCAGTCCCACTGATGAGTTTGGAAAAGCCGCACCTTTGAAATCTTTAGGACCAGTAAAATGTGTCAGAAAGTTTGGACTTCCAGTCATCCCACCCACTGTTCCCTTTCAGAGAGCCCTAGTGCCTTTGAATGTTAAGCATCGCATTTCGCCAGTAGAAGGCACAAACCTTTCAAACAACAGTGGAGTTTGTTCTAACTTTCCAAATGCCTTTCCTCCTATACCAGCAGCAGCAGAATTAAGCAAGGACACAAAGGAAGAGATAGATGAAGATATTGAGAACTTGCCACCGCCACCCCCTGAAATGCTCATAGACAGTACTTTTGACTCCTGTGAGATGGAAGAAACTGCAAGAATAGAAGAAAGCTCATCAGAAGATGCCAAAAAGCCTGCCAAAACAGAATTTCAAGCTACTAAGAGAACACAAGTCTCCCCAAAAATGAGGGCCTCTCTTCAGTCCATTGACTTATTACCAAGCAAAAATATCAATGGCCCCAATGTGGCTGCTAACAAAGTTCTAAGGAACAGTGAACCAAGGGATGATAAACTGCAGATATATTCTCTGGAGTTGAACCCTACCAATGTGCACATCCCTAGTCAGGAAGAGATATTAGCAACCCAGAGAAAAGAGGCTGCAGATTTGTACAAGCAAACGCATAAAATTATTCCTCTTCAAAATCCCAGCGGGGTTTCAAAACCACACAGCAACAGCTCAGAGAGCATGGAGGCCAATTCACCCACAACTTCAGTGCCACACCAGAAGCACGGCTCTCCTGACTCTCTCAGGAGAAACGAAAAAGGCTCAGTGTTCTCCAGGAGGGTGTCCCCAGCGAGAACCCCTCCTTCTTCTCCGCCAACTGAGAAACGGCTTTTCAGCCCTCCAACACATCATAGACACTCTCTACAAGCTTTTAGCAGCCCCCAGCCCAGCTCGCCCACCATGCAGAGGAAACCCAGCCCCCCTGCCAGCCCCAGAGCACCCAGCCCTCCCTCACAGAAGAAGCTGCCCTCTCCACCAGCCCAGCGCAAACTGCTCAGCCCTCCTGCAGAGCATAAGCAGAGCTCATCAAGCCCACACCGGCCACCAGGCTCCCCAGCATACCGCCGTGACACAGCCCCTGCTCCATTTCCCATCGCCCCATCCCCACCAACCTCCCCATCTCGCTCCTACAGAGGATCAAGAGCAGGTCTGGATGCCGGGGATGAGCCCCAGCCTTCCTCCACCAAAAAGGGCAGCAACGTACATTCAATATTTTGCCCAGCCACCTCTTCCTTATTTGAAGCAAGACCTCCACCAGCACCCAGCAAACCCTCAGAGGAGGTCACGGGTCAGCCTGAAGCTTCAAAACCTTCCCAAAAGAGCAGCCTGCTTTTCCAGCAGCTGGGAGCTCGAACCAGAAAGCTGTCCCTGAGCGCTGCCAATCCTCAGCCATTTGTGAAGAGAAGTTTCTCCGACCGTCGACCAGGGGTCCGGTTCTTCCTTCCAGCTCCTGTGTCAGCTGCCAGTGAACCCGCTCTTAACCAAGCAAGGTAAGAATCTTTCAATTTTACATCAGGACAGTAGAAATATTGTATTGCGTTGGCTCTATAAACTCCTGATGGGAATTTATTGTCTTTAAGAGATTCCTCAGAAAAGTTCTCTTTTCCTGCATGTGACAGATGGCTGGGGAAAGACAACATCATCTTGCCCCAGATTTCTATAGACGCCTGTCAGAGTAAAGGGAACAGCTAACCTTGCACAGCTTGCTCAAGCATTACACTGCAACCAGAGAAAGTTCAGTGTTGGGTTCATGGTAATGAATTTCCCTTATTTGCTTGGGGACTAAGAACATCCACATTCAATTCTTAAAAGCTATGGAATAGCCCTCAGGTGATAAACGTCTTTAAATAACTGAGAAAATAGGCTGAGGTGTCTTAACTAGCATCAGCTTCTAAGCTAGTAAACTGCTCAACAGAAATCTATGTTAAAATATTTCGAATCAACTGGCAAGAATAATGTGCAGATGTAAACATCTGTATGACTATAATTATAGCTGAAACTTAGAGCTTGTCGTGTAGGCTTTCAGATCGAGGCACTAATGCCAAGTCTGGTGCTTCCAAAGATCAAATTCAGTTTTCAAAGTGAAGAAATTTCACATGGCTTTCAGGGATTCACTATTATGAAAGCATTAGATACAAGAAATTCCATCTTTGCAACCACTGGTGGACATTTTTGAAATACCTGAGCTTGACTTTAAATTTTCTCTATCAGTTAAAAAGAAAAGCAAATAAGATATAAAATATATGTGAGTATTTGAGAATAGTTAAAGATCAGGGTAGCTGTCTGGAAGTACAAAATGTTGTTATTCTAGTTTCTTAGCATCTTAGGATGTTTTAGCCCATTAAGCTTTAAGCTACGCAAGAGGATTAAGACCCTTCCCAGGCAGGCTTTCCTCACATGAGGAGTATTTTTAGTCTTGCTGCAGAAGAGCTAAAATCACACAGATTGTCCCCATGAGTAGAGCTTGCAAGATCAAGCCCAACTGGAAATAAAATTGCACTTACGAATGCACAAACATACCCTGCACTGAGTGCAGAGACACTTAACTATACTGAAATCAAGTGTACAGGCATTCTCTTCCCGAAGACAGGACAAGAACCACACTCATAGTAGATGAATTAGCTAAACAAAAGGAGTGAAAGCTGCTAGGAGACAGTTTTGCGTTCTGGATTCTAATTTTGTGTTGTATTCTGACATTTGAAGATCATCTGAAAGTTGTCTACATTGCTGTTGGGATTTCTGCTGTTATGTGTGGTGTGAAGCCAGCTTTGTCTACTCCAGTGCCCACTAGAATTAATTAATGTTTTTCCAAGGCAGCTTTATATCAAATATTTTAAGACAAAAGTCCTGGGAGTTTTATGGCTCAATTTTAAAAACAGCCTACTATAAATTGTTAAATAATTCATGCCTCAGTGGTGTGTGTTATCTCTCTATTGTAGACTGTCACAACGCAGACAGTAGTATGAAGAAAAACCACTGTAAATAAAATCATCCCCCCATCATGAAAAATATGGTATCTAATGTTATGATATACACCATTTCTAGTCATTTTAGAATAAATATATCCTGAGCCAAATTCAGCTTATCACTTATATAAACAGAGATCAAACGTTGTCCTATTGAGTCAGCTCAAATTTATATCACTGTAAACAGAAGGGAAACTGAGCCCATTCATTACCATGTACTCTGACTCAAGATTCAATATGCTATTGTTTGCTTTCTTACAGTTAAAATAAGCTGCCTAGAATTGACTTTTACAGACCTTGCTTTGGCGTAATGTAGATATCACAGCAAACGTGCTGATGGGCAGAGAAGGGCTATTTTAGGAAGCAGCACGTAGCAGAAGCTCTGAGAGCCCCTCACATCACTGCTGCCTGTCTCTTCACTGAGCTCTGAGCAGCTGCCACAGCTGTGAGCACCTCACACCATGTGCAGATGCTGATCCTTGCTGTTATAGCAGATGCCACTCCAGAATAACCACCACACTGATCCATATTTCTCCTTCCAGTTTTTAAGCCATGCAAGGCTTCCTCTGCTTTGCAATTCACTCTGCTAACAAAGGACAATTTCAAAAAACATCTCCCTCAAACATGTTATATTCCTAAAACTCTTCATTCTGACAGCGTTTGCATCTGGTCTCAAATCGCATGCTATTCCCACCTAACTCTTAGTGTCCTTTCCTTCCTTCCTTCCTTCCCTTGCTCTCCCTCTCCTCTTCAAGTTCAACAATGCTTCTGTGCATGCGACTTTTTGTAAGTTCTATGAGCATTTTCATTCCTTATTTACAGGAGGGAGGGGAGACAGGCAAACCTGCAGTGGCATCACACTTGCATAGGTAAAGAAGTTTGAAAATTGGCAATGTAGCCAGTTTCTCCCATGCTTGTGCAGACTCCGTTTTTCCATTTCCAGATATATCACTCAATTTTCCATGCCCAAGTAAAACATCCAATTTCTGGGAAAATACTAAATATAATCTGCCAGGAGCTTGTATGAACAACACATTTCAGTGAGTCATCAGGCAGCCCTTTCTCACCTACCCCATTTTAACAGCAACAACAGAAGCAGCAGCAGCTTCCATTCAACTGCATTGCCAGGCACTAGATATCACTGCTACACACAGATTTGCATCTGCCACATGCTCACTGCTCCTCTAGAAGGCAAGAAGTGCTTCTTTTCCACGTATGTCTGCTGCCCATCCTGTGCTATAAGAAATACCAGGACTTAACCCATCATGAGCCTTAAAAAATTATAGTTTTTGTACTTAGTATTAGGCTATCTGGACTATACTTTCAGATTTCAGTTTCTATGTTAAGCAACTACTAGTTGAACAAATCAAGTAGAACATGAGTTCCTGTTTGAACTGACTGTGGATGGATTGAAGTGAGCTAACTTTGCTGGTTCCTATGCTTGGTTATTTGACAACTATCAACAGTTATTGGTATATTATCAAGGCATAACATTTACGATTGTTCTGCTTATAGAAATCCTGTTAACCTGTATTACACAGAACTCAAATGCAGTTAAAATAATATTTCATTGAGACTGCTAATCTTCCAAGTGGTAGACCAGAAATGGAAGAAATGCTATTGCCATTAAGATATTGTTCAAGAAAGTCTTGGCAAGGGACTTCATTCATTAAATCAGGCCCAAAGCAAGTATCTGAGTGCAACTTCTGCATTTGGGGGTCATCTGAAGCTGGATTAGTTTTGTGACTGGAAATCTATCACAAAGCTCTTTCATCTAGCCTTTCAAATCCCTGTAGTTCTAACAGATAGAATAGGAAGGTAAAGCTTGCCTACAGTCAAAAGTTAATTCAGTTTATCAGTTCATGTGCTTAAAATACAACAATGATTTTGGATAACTCTGGGGTATTTCCTTATGCTTAGCTTAAACTCTTAATTAGCTAAAGCAAGATGGAACAAATCTCAGCATGAAGGCCTGCAGACTGAGATATCCATGACTGGCTCTTTTGCCATAGTCACTCTTGATTCACAAAGTCTCTGTGCCTCTAGAGATTGCTGCTTTGATGTCAAGAACATCACTTGTACTCTGTCTCAGTTTTCCTATTTGTAAAGGGGCAGATTTATGCCACCAGAGCACATAGCATGGCAACAGGATGGCATCCTCAGAAGTCGTTGTAACCATGCAGGTGTATAACCTTGAGGTAAGGTTATACTTTAAGGTAAGGTGTATAACCAAGAGGTAAGACCTTTTGTCCAGCAGAGTCTGAGTTTGGAAGAAGACTTCTCACTCAAATTAGTCTCCATCTGCAAGTGAATCTAGATTCATACTGATTCCCTGTTAAACATTTTAAACATTTACTTCCCAAGGAAGTTTTAGAAGGGGAGAGAGAGAGCACAGTGTGTTTGGCATCACAGAAGAGGGAATGTCTGTAGAGCATATGCAGAAAGCATGTACACAAAAGGAGATAGGCAGTTACGTAGTACTGTGCAGCATTTGTGACTCGTGAGTTAACATAGCCTAATCAGTGTCGTTTTGAAGAATAACAATTCATTAGCCTCTTAACTTGAGCATCTTTCCTTCTGCAGCATGGACGAGAGCCCTAGAAAAGCAGGCGACTCTTGGAGCAACCCTTGTGCCCCTGAAATCAAAGAGTCCAACAGATCTGCTTCCCACCCGGAGCTCTACATTGTGGGCCAGAGGCTGCAGAGGGACTGACCACAGAGGCATGAGGAGGGAACAGCCTTACCCAAGCCTCCAAAACGCTGCTCCGTTATTTTTAATCACAAGGAAACAATATGATGGCACTGCATCTGAAAACCCAAACCTCTCGACCTCCAGAGGAAATACCAGAGTGATAACCAGCTGCTTCTCCTTCTGATTGCAATTCAAAGGTTTGCTTTCAGCAACAGAAATGCTTGCCAGTTCTGCAAGTCTGAGGCAAACCAATTCAGTATTTTCATTCCCCTGGGTTTGCTCAGTGCAGAGCAGAGGAGCTGAGCGGAGGCTTCATGGCAGCTGCAGCTCCTGACAGGGAGAGGAGGGCAGCGCAGAGCTCTGCTCTGTGTGACAGCGACAGGGACGGAACAGTCGAGAACCAACTGAATTCTACTGCAAAATACAAATGGCTTCAGCAAAGTCACAACTTCACACTAGGTTATTTATGAACACTTACATAGAGAGAAAAAGGCCAAATACAAGTTAAAGCAAAAAATAACCCTTTTTATTTCCAAGGGATATTAGGAATGTTATTTCCTCAAAAAGACTTTGATCTTCTAAAGCATCTTTGATTACCCTGTAATCTCATCATCTCTAGTTCTCAGGATACAAGGCTTAATCCTGATTAGAGTAGTTTTGTAACCGCCTAATCAAACATCCTGAGGCACTTAAGGACATGTTAAAAAAAAAAAAAAAGAAAAAGAAAAAAGAAAAGTGAGAATCCTGTTCCCTCAGAAAGAGGTTGATATTCCAGTTGACACAGTTTGAATGGATTTGCTGTGACTTCTAGGCAGGTTCTTGCTAATGAAAACACAAGGTACTGTCATCTGGTTAATCACAGGCTGGTATAGCACCCACTAAAATACTTCCATAATTTACTGGATTTTACTCAAAGAACTGGTTTGTCATCAGAATTAAGATGTAACTTTTTAATTTACCTAATTTGACTTGATTTTATATGCTACTTCAGGGACAGAAAAAGATCCAGAAAAAGACCCATTTCTAGTCCTGCTTTGGTGGGAATAGCTTTAGTTTTTCCTACAGCTTTCATGATGAACGCTTCATCTATGTACAGAATTTTTAACCCTTTCCCTTTTTAACCACCTTCATGACGGGGGAATTAAGGCTTGCCTTAAGCTGTACAAGGGACCCCTTTGTCTACTGAACACTTCTGAGTTTTACTACAGTGCCTTCATCACAACCATCCATCTTCAATAAACTCAGTGCCATTTTATACCACATAAAAGGAAACCTTAACTGTAGTATTTAAGATGAAGTATTACAAAGAAATAACTCATAGCATATCAATGCTTTGGATCATCAGGGGTTTGTGAGCTTGAGGTGACAAAAGTAGCTGTACCCAAGGTGTACATGTAGGAGATGTCAACAGACCCACATTGTGATCACACAGAGAAATACATCATTCCCTATTAAATAGCGAAATCAACAAGGAGATACTGCAAGGCTCCTCAGCAAAGCAAATTCTGCAGGTCAGTTTTCCCCCTCGTCAGAAGTTTTGTCTACTCCCACTGCATTAAAATTACATATTTTGTATGCATTTTGGATTTGTCTATTCTGGTGTCATTAGCTGTCAGAACAGAAATAAACCAGAAACACGACAATGGAAATCTGGCACTTTGCATGCCTAAATGTAACTTTGAAGATGAAAATGCAAGAGTGGGGGCGCAACTTCTGCTCAGTTGCTGCAATCATTTCAGCCCTTCATGGCTTAATGCTGAAATGCCTCAGCATCCACAATGGATGATAATTGAAAGTGTGTATTTATGCTCCCTGAGCAGCAAATTCTTCTGTAGAGTAAGAGCTACAGCAGCACATAGAGAAACGCTACAGCGATCAAGCTGAAACTTGCTCACACCTGTGCTGGCTGGACATGAATTCAGCCAAGCCACTTTCCCCTGATTAAAATAAGGCTCTCCTGAAGACATGTCACATAAACCATCATCCCAGTACAGCATTTGTTCCAGTTTTGGCTAAGATCATGTCATCAGTACGCTCATCGCAACCATAGTCCCACTTGAACACGGCAGCTGTTGGGGGATTTTAGCATTGCCCTAAGGACGTTTGTTGCAGCAAACTGAGCGTTACATTCAAGAAACAGAGCTTCTCCAGTGGTGATCTACAAATATCTGTATCATGAACTCATGACTACGTATAACTAGAAGATTCTCTTCAGTGCAGGACCCTTGCAATGAGGTGTTAAACTTCAGCTCATATTGCAAGCATGAAGTTGAGAGTAACTAGTACATAGAAAACAACAGCATGACTGATCACTTTTTAAAGAAGTGTTATTGTTTGTTTGTTTGTTGTTGTTACAGATTTTTTTTATATCATTTCCATTTTTCCTAAATTCAATGTTTCTGAAATACAGTTGTTATTAAGACCATGCTCAATTTCAAGATGTATTTTTTACTGATGTAAATAAATCAGTTTTATACACAGGTTATGAGTTTGTGCCTTACATTCTGTCTGAAGTCAGCACAGTCCTCAATGTTATGCTATTGATTCCTTATGTGGTGCATTAATGGGTGCCCTCTGCCATAAAAAGTCCTTTTGCTTCATTCCTTCCCACCCAAATACAAGTTTGTCTTGTTTTGTGTTTCACTGGTATGTCAGATAAAACAGATTATATTTTCATTCTGCAAATATGTATTTTTGTCTACAAAGTCCAGTCTGGACACCAACAGACCAGAACAGAGGTCAGCTGTGCTTCCACCTTTACCTCTTCTAATTTAGCTTGAACTACCTGGCAATTCAGAGCTCTCCATTCAGAGCTTCTACATAAAACCACAGCAAATCCAAGGTAAGGGTTAAAGCCATAGCACACCTGTTGCACTGCAGTCTCATGCAGAAGGGCTGAGCACATAGTAAAGCAGTATCAGTTTCCCAGCCAGGACTTCATAGCTGCAAAACTAGCAGCTAACAGCTCTATGTAATGCTTCATCTGCAGACCTTTGACAAGCTGACAGCTGCCTTTGCTTCCAGGGAAACTACTCAAAGCTGAAGCCTTTAATGGACTCATCATTTCATACTCTCAGCATCTGCGGATGACCCAAAAGTACTATACACCTCCAGTTACTTTATTTGACTTCAAGACTTATCCCAGATATTAGCAACACATTTCATAATTATTTGTGAAGTCTTATTATTAAGATGAGTATTCTGAGAATTTATACCTTTTGTTTTGGGAATAGCAGAAATCACGATACAGAGATAAAATAACCTGTTCCTACTGTCACAGTTCATCACTGCAGAACTGGCAACACCTACTGAAGAGATGCTCCTCTAGATTAACAAGTCATGAAACCTCCCACACCAGATAAACTCAGAGTCATCATGACTGCACCGTGCACATTGCAGGTATGAACTTCAAACTGAGATTTTGGTCTTGCTGTGCAAGAAGATACTTGGTTTATCTTCACAACAATACATTGGGTTATCTAAAAACCCAGTGCAAAGGTAGCAAGTCCTTCCCACTGCTCACTTTGAATGAATAACAAAAATATTTGTCAAAAAAAGAATGTCCAGATACGGTCAGTAAGTGCTCAGAGGAAGATCAATCAAGGCCCAGGATCACATTATCTTTCTGATCCCTTTCCATTCATCTCACGTATTCCTGCCCTGCAGCTATCCTGTACCACCACTGCTTGCACCAGATCATCTGCAGCCTCCATAGGTTCAACTGCTGTCCCCTTCACTGATTTTCCAAATTTCAAAAAAACTCATCATATTCTTCCCTTTTTCTTTACCAGTACAAAATTCTGAGTGCATTAAGTAACCCTATGAGGATTTCTGGAGATGATCTAGAGTACACCCTTTAACAACGTTATTTTAAAGGAGAAAGAGGCAATAAGCCTATCTTGCTCCATACAAATCCCTCCTGCTTCAATAAAGTTTTCCTTAAGGCATAGATGAGCTGATTATACAGCAATTAAAAAGAAACCAAAAGCTTTTGATGCTTCAGATTGAGCCACTGAGTCCTTACTATATGAAAGAATCAAAGCTGAAGCTTAAGGATGCTAACAGAGACCTGTCCTTCCCTACAGCATCACTGTAAAGCTATGACTTCCCAGACTTTCCACCACAAAGATAAGCCCCTAGGCCAAGATCACTCTAGAGATAAAACCTAAACCAAGAAATTCACTAGCTGCTCAGTTTTTAAAAGCAAGTTTGAGGCAATCTAGTAGTGCAATTTCCATCCTGCAACCTTACTTCCTCCTGAGCCTTCTTAAACTGGGCTTAAATTTAATACCTCTTACTTCCTAACTGGAAATTAAGCCTGCCAGAGCAATATAATCACTTGTTTTTAAAAACTTTTCTTCCCACACTGTGAAGCTTTGTCTTTTTGAATGCAAATATAGTTAACGCATGGGCAATCAGGGCACAAGGCAACACATGTTTCTGGATTATTCTGGATACTGACATTTTTAAATCAATAGCCCAATATCCACATAGGTCCCTTTATCTTTGTATTTCAGAGAGAACACATGCATGTATACGTGTGCATTTATCATCATAACAGCTCCAGCATGGAAGCGTGTTCTCCATATTGCAGTTTTCTCCTGTGGATAACCCAGGGAGCACCAAGAATGCCCTCCTGTCCCACAGATCTGCAGCCAAGCAGCCAGTAAGACACAGCAGTCTTGGTGGGCAGTTTCCTATTCCTGAGCCTTAGACAAATTTCATATCACAGCAATCCATATAGTCAACAGCAACTAGTAGGGAAGAGTCCTAGGGTGCAAAATAAAGTAATCTAGACAATACACTATAGACAATTAAAAAAATAGTAGCATATTCTTCAAACTGAGAAACCTCCACTCTTCAGAACTACTTCTCCTAGAAACAGCAAAGAAAAAAACCACATGCTGCAAACTCTAAGCTCTGCTAGCCCTGACAAGGCTGAGATTTTCTATTTCTACAGCATTCTCTTATTCCCTTGACAGCCAAATAACTAGATTAGCTTTTACACAGAGGAAAAAAAAAAAAAAAATACACTACCCTCTGCAAACACCACAGCACTAGGAATGCAGGAGGCGTTCAGATGCTCAGCGCATTCCCAGTTCCCCCCAGCAGACCAACGGCTCTGCATCTCTCTACTCCCAACATACAGCGAAGGTTGCTGTGACCTCTTCAGATGCTGTTTACAGACCAGCAAAAATAGAAAGGCATTTCTCTAAATAAACAGCAAGCTAATAACTTTAAGAGTAATTTGATAGGTTTGATTTAGATTGCTTTCAGCCAAAATGAGACCAGGACCTGTGCGATCATCTTGACTCAAATTTCCCTTTCCTACAAAATTTGCATAGAACAGATCCAAGATGGAAGCTACAACTGATTTTAGTTTGCAAATCAAGCACATTATCAGTCTTCAAAAGTGTTAGAAAGAGGACCCTGCATCATCCACACTTATTCGCATGCATGTTTGAAGACTACAAAATGCTTCTGGCATGAAAGAGAAATGACCCCCCCCAATGGGGGGTTGGACTTGATGATCTCTGGAGGCCCCTTCCAACCCCTACAATTCTGTGATTCTGTGACTTTAAAAATAAAATGCCATCCTACAAACTGCATGGTTACCACTTAGACACTGAGTTTCACTACCTCTACTATTACATATTATGAAGTTTGGAGAGAATACTGGAATATTGGGCAGGTAATTTCCGTAATTGCATCCCCAGGGAAACCCTTGAAAGGATACGTTCATTGTGCTGTAATGGCAACCCTACCTGCTCACAGGCTGAAGCAGGGATTCTTCCCTGTGATTTTGTCTACCTCTCCTGAGCTTTATGCAAAGGGCAGGATTAGATCCATAGTTGAACAAACACAGACACATGAAAGAGATTTTGTCCTTCAGAAAGCCTAATTAACACATCACATGTGTTTTCCTCTGTAATAACAGAAATTGGCAACCATGCAGAATATGCTGTCAAAATGTTATGGTTTGCACTCGGCTGTGAAGGGTTTTTCCCTCAGACAGAGCAATAATGGCAAATACAAATAAAAATGTAAATTTAAAAGATTCAAGTGATTACGAAACAATTTTATTTTTTTTTTAAAGGCAGTGCCACAACTGATCACACCATCTACCAAGAGCTTGTGCTGAACCCAGGAGTGCATGCTCCAGCTGCACAGCAGTTTGTCACAAGGTAAAGAGCTGGCCCATGGCAATAAGTTATCACAGAGCTCTCTGCTGAGCAGTTGTTCAGGCATGGGTGTAAACACAAGCCATGGCAGTCAGGTGAAGTCCCCAATGAGCGGAAGAAGAGAAACATCACACTTTTTATTTATTCTTTTTAAGAAACAGTAGAAACGAGGACCCAGGGAACAAATTGGTGAGCCTCACCTCAGTGCCTGGAAAGATCATGGAAGAGATCCTCCCAGAAATCATGCTAAGGCATATGGAAGGCAAGGGCAAATTATGATGGAGTGGCTTCTGCGAGGCCTTTGACGTGATCCTTCACGATATCCTTAGCTCCAGTTGGAGAGCTGTGGATTTGAGTGATGCTCTTCAGTAAGTAAAGAATTGGCTGGATAGTGCACACTTGCAGCCCAGAAGGCCAACTGCATCCTGAGATGCATCAAAAGAGGGATGGCCAGCAAGGAAAGGGAGATTATTGTGCCCTTCTGCTCTGCCCTCACAAGGGCCCATCTGGAGTACTGTGCCCAGATCTGGGGCCCCCAGCACAAGAATGATACTGAGCTGTTAGAGCAGGTCCAGAGGAGGACCGCAAAGATGTTCAGAGGACTGGAGCATCTCTCCTATGAAGAAAGGCTGAGGGAGCTGGGCTTGTTCAGTCTGGAGAAGAAAAAGCTCCAGGGAAACCTAATTATAGCTTTTCAATACTTAAAGGTGTCTTTCAGTACCTAAAGGGAGTCTGTAAAATGGAGGGGAATCAATTATTTAAAAGAGCAGATAACAGCAGGGAAATGGTTTTAAGCTGAAGGAGGGAAGATTTCAGTTGGGTGGCAGAGGGAAGTTCTTTACTATGAGAGTGGTGAGGTGCTGGAACAGGCTGCCCAAATGTGCTGTGGATGCACTGTCCATCCCTGGAGGTGTTCAAGTCCAGGTTGGATGGGGCCCTGGGCAGCCTGGTATAGTATTAAACGTGGAGGTTGGTGACCCTGCCTGTGGCAGGGATTTGGAGATTCGTGATCTTGAGGTCCCTTCCAACATGGGCCATTCTGTGATTATAAGAAAAATGAAGATAAATATTTTGCAGGGCATATAGGGATAAGACAAGGGGTAATTGTTTTAAATGAAAGAAAGCAGGTTTAGATGAGATACAAGGAAGAAATTCTTCACTCAGAGGTTGGTGAGGCCCTGGCACTGCTGCCCAGAGCTGTGGGTGCCCCATCCCTGGAGGTGCCCAAGGCCAGGTTGGATGGGCCCTGAACTGGAAGGGGGCAGCCCTGCCTACAGCAGATGTTGGGGCTGAGTAATCTTTAAGGTCCCATTCAAAACATTCTATGATAAATGTACATTCTATGATAAAAGTATTTGAGAAACCTTTCTCACCTATCATTGGTCTCACAGTCAACTCATCCTTCCACAACCAAATCAC